GGCAGTGTAGCCGAGTGGTTAGCGTGTCAAACTACCGTCCTGCACTGTCGCGGTTCGAATCCCGCTGAGGATCTTGATAAGACCAATGCGAGGTCGAAACTGCAGTCCACCCTGGATGAGAAAAAATTTTGGGAAAGCAAGGCTATGTGAAATTTAATAGAAACGTCAGCTCAACTTATATCATTGTGGGAAAATTCTACTACCAGTCCTTCATCACCTTAAACGAAATAGGGTGAATACATCTCATTAGTTAAAACTAGTTACGACCAAGGTGTGAAAAGAAATGCAAACAACATATCAATAACAGTTACTTGCTAAGTTCTCATCTATTCATACCTATGGCGTTGAAGTAGAGTTTATGAAATCGATGAAAGTAAGAAGTTTGCATCCAGCTGATGTAAATCACCAGGATCAATAGTTATAAAGGCTACGAAGAACCTTAGTTGAGAACAATTAGCTATTAAAATTAATTTTCAGTAATTTTAAAATAGTAAGAAATATGATAAGAAAGCAATTACGGAACAGGACAGTTCTTTATCTACGTTCCTGAAATTATCGTCTTTTCAGCTTTTGAAAAGTATCGTCGTATCGCTGAGGAAATGGAACATCCGGAAAATGTATAAATAAAGACTAACATTTTCCTCTAGAGGATATTCGGAAGCAATTTGGAGATTAGGCTGATATAAGGTTTTGTGCTCATGTGTAGGTATATATGTGGGAGGCTTATCGACCAATACATGGGATGTTATCAGAAATAACTGAGGCTGTTAGGTATAATTAGGGAGGGGATGAGAAAGCAGGAAGAGCCACCGAATGGGCGAAAACTTGACTAACTGGAGTCTAGTTTGGTCTCTTATTTGTCAAGTAATTCATAAGCACCGCATATAAACATCGTGAATGCATCTACAAGACTAAAAAGGTACCAGCATTGCAGTTTGTAGTTTGTTAGTTTATTTATGTAGCAAAATGACTGTGATCGGTGAACAACCCTTCTGGGTTTAGTGTAATTGGTGCTTTTTTCGTATGTATGCCACATGACAGGCGAGATGTAAGCACGGATTAGTCGGAGTCTCAGTCTTGGGTTACCGGCTTCTCTTACGCTGACTACAAGACTAACATGCTGTATTAATCGTCTTCTTCCAGCTTCTTGCCATTAGATGGTTCTAATCAACCATCTCAATCACGAACACACATGCAAGCGTAATCTACATCATGATTTTTCAGTTATGTACCCCTGATTTCCATGCATCTTCAAAAATACATTATTGAGCAGTTTATCTTCGCTGTCTGTCTAAGAGCAGGTTCCAAGGTAAAACTTTTAAAAATCGAGTTGAATTATTTTAATAGCATCTATCTCGCAACAAAGCTCAGGAGCTTTATAATGAATACGCCCTCGGTAAATATGCTACAACTGTATTTGTAAACTGATAAAATTGATTGAAGCGATTATTATGCTAAAGACATTTCAGTATACAATGTAAATACAATTATCCGGTTTCGAGGAAACATAGGCTGATCAGGTGGAGCACAGCATCCTGAATAGGATAAACACGTGTATATAATTAAGCAAGAGCTATCCATAACCATTGGATAGAAATAGGAAAAGGTTGAGAGAGGAAGGAGAGCCATCGAGTAAGAGAATGCTTGACTAGCCTGAAGTCTGATTTTGGCTCTAAATTATAAACTTACTCATGAGTATTGCGTACACGATAGACCCATAACCTTAAAGCAAGCGTCATTATTGCAGGGTCCTAGGTTAATTTATTTACCTAATAAATGGTCGTGGCCACATCCGCTACCTTTTCATAAATAAACTTCACTCTTCTGTATGCAGTAAGAGTAGACATAAAGTAGCCATGAGATAACCCATGCAGAACGTAGATTAAGTAGGATTTCGGCCGGACAACTTTCTTAGCCAAGGTTTTTGGGTAATTTTTTAGAAAATCATGGTTCTGACGAGGTCTGTCACATGACGGACTAAAGTTCGGCACTAATTCAATGGAATTGCATGTCGAAGAGCCGAGGTCCTTTTGGCACAATCCAGCAGTCATAGGCCCAAGATAACCCTTATTCGATGGCCGATGAGACCAACTTACAAAGCCCTTCAGTGCGTATTTTCAAACGAAGTGAAAGACGCGCTAATATCTTTGGATTTTACGACACTTACTTTTAACAGTGAATTCAGTCATTCAGAAAAAGCATGAGTTACAAACAGAGTTAAGTGTGATCACAAAGAGAAAATGAAGCAGAGCTGTGTATGTAGAGACCTCCTATAAAATAATGTACCGACTTAAATGTAGCCACTTGTAATTAAATAAATGGTTAATCCTCATCGGGTCACTACCATAGTCCCAATATTAGAGGCAACAGGACAAGATTGCATATTTCTGTGGTCCGACGAACATCCGTCTGATGCAGGATCCTCAGAGTCATCATCAGGATGAGGGCAATCTAGAAGTTCCTGCAGCATAGCGAATAGAAGCGAAGACTTTCCGGAACCTACAGGACCGCGAACAACAATAAATTGGCCCTGAATAAAAAGATAGAAATAAAGTAAAAATAAAAATAATGAGATTACTGGATGCTAAGGGAAGACAAAAATGTATGGTTAAATGAAAAATATGCCAGGTGTGTAAAAGCGTAAGGACCAAGATAGGAACAACCGAAATTTTATAATGGCGAAATAATAAAAAACTATAGAGAAGAGATTGTTGTTTAAATAGATTTTTAAGATAGGGCAATGAATCTAGTAGGTCGTATCAAGTCCGTAATTTGTCATCTAGTATTAGTCCAAATAGAAAGGCTAATTAGTAGGGAAGTGAGAGTTAAAGATGGCGTCCAAAGAGACGTTGGAATTTATGAAGTTATTTTAGCCATTAGACAGTTGTGATTCGTTGCTGAAATCCTGCTGTTACAAAATACTGTATTCATATGGTCATATGAAATTCTAAAGACGTTTCACCTTGTAATTAAAGGGAGGTCAAACAAAGAAAGCTCCCAGAAGCTGCATTTTCTGTTGTAACGCTTACATTGAAGTAAATACAAAAGTCGAAAAAAATGGTACAAAAAGTATACTTGAGAAAAAGCAAAAATAAGGATAAACAACAGCTACAACTAGACTAAAATAGTGAAGTTAAAAAGTTGAGACGTCTATCTCACATAATTCGAAGGAAATCATCAGAAAAAAAACATTGGCACAAAGCATCTTATAGAGCGACACTGGGCCGAATAAATCGAAAGCAAGGGGCCTTAAAATTCAATCACATCTGTTATTAATAAGACTTAATGCATAACATAAACTATACGCATGATCAAGTAATTACCATAAACCTAAGTATTCCACTTTCAAGCAGGCCATAGCTAAAAGTAAAATAGATTTATAATGAAGAGTAACTGGGTTTCGATGAATATCCTGATATAACATTATTTGGAAGACCATCATTCCGTATGAAAGTGCATGGAGAAGAAATTCGTAGGCTGATCTCACTAGAAGACGACGGCTGAATCCTGTTGTAATGCAGCCGATATTCAGGTTGACGCAGCCCACGAGACATCCTCCCTTGCTTCGGGTGAAAACGGTTTTAGCTTTCGTTCATCATCTGAGCTGGAACTCATTATTGTCAAAGCCTCATGTTAACACTAGGTCAAAAAGGCTATCCGACTCTACCTAACCTCTTATATATACTCATAAATAAAAACGAAAATGAATATGCATAGATAGATATAGAATAATTTGGCTAATTATCTTTCAAACTGCTCCTGCTACTTTTTGCTCGGGTGTGTGTGTATGTATATACGCAATACCAGTCCTGATTCAGAGTGATCAAAAAGGCAACATATTTTGGCTTTCTATAAACATCTATGATTTTATGGAAACAAATATTCCTGTTCAATGAGTCATTTAAGCTCTAGCACAAACTCCGGAGCAGCATCCAGAGATCATAGAATGAATAAGGTTAAGTATAGCCTCCATTCTTAGACTTCCAAACTTATCCATGAGTGTAAGCTATTTTGCCTTTGCTGGCAAATTTTATGAATAAACAGGACTTGCGATGGGATCTTGCGTAGATCCCATGTTGGCGCACCACTCTATGGCCAAACTTGAGGAACACCATTTGGAACAGGCAATACTAGCCCCTAAATTGTTGGTTAGATAAATGGATGACTAGTTTGTGACCGGGCCTCATGGTAAGGGAAACTTTGATAGTTTTCTACTTTCACTTAACCAATGTGAAAGGAACACTAGGCTCATGATGGAAATAGGAGAGGATAGATCCTTACCATTTTGGATGTTCTGATCATTAGAGAAAAGGGTAAGTTGGGAATAAATGTTTATAGGAAACCAACGCATGTTGACTCTTTTTTAATTTTCTTCCCAACAATAGTAACAAAACTAAAGTTCAAATTTTGAAATCAATGATAATTAGAAGTATAAGACAAGCGGATAGCAACCATTTGACTAGAGTTGAAACGGCTGAAAAAAATGTATTCCTGAAAAATAATTATTAATTGGGCGTTATTGTTAATAATACTAAGGAAAAAATTTTCATACGCAGACAAGATATCTTTTCTTTCAAAATGCCTTTC